TAAAATAATCATACGATATATTCACTCTTCTATAACAAAAAAAAACTTCTAATGTAGGTACTCTAGAAATCCTCAAAAAACATACCAGGTAAAAAGGGAAATAGATAACATAACTGCCAATTTATTGCCAAAATGAATAACTATTTTTATTAGAAAATATTATTACATTGCACTGGAAATTGTTACATAAAAATATTTTAAAAATAAAATATTGACGTATGAAACTTAAATAATATTTTTAAGGGACAATGACATTTTTATATAGGCCTATCAAGATATTTGCATTACGTAAAAGAACACCACGTCCGACGTTACGATATCGCAAACGTTTCACGTGTACTCGTGGTCGTCCACGTTGCGTACTGTTGTCCGTATTCATTGGGCGAAACACAGTTCATAGACGAATTCTTGACAAAACAGGAGGGTATACTAGAAACGCACAGGTCGGCTATCGGGCAGAGACTGAGTGCGTGGCACAACTTGGCAACAGTGGACAGTTTTCTAAAAGCTGATTGGATGCCTTATGCCCCGCCCCACCCGACTCGAACTGGTTCCGGTCCTATTCTGTATTCTATTCCACTATAATTATTTTTCCTAATACTGCAGCAAAAACAATCGTTTTTAATGCAGGCGTTGCGGGTCTAAAGTAGCATTTTTACTCTATAGTGAGTAAAAATCATTTTTAGTCTCTAGGGAGTAATCAGCTGTTGTAGTAAATTTCGATTGTGGCAATCGTATCGATCGTAATTATTTATCGATTGATGTATTAGGTAAGGTTGTAGATCGCTCGACATATAATGTACTGTAACACAATCGTAATAGACGAAATGATTGAATCACTTACGAAACAGATGCTTGTTTGTATTAGCAGAATTGAAAACAAGCTGGAAGTCGTTTTGAGAGGTTACCTTTACATAAAAAGTAGTTCGTTTTCTGACTTAGTTTGTTAATTAATGATGCAATATGACGAAAAACATAGTTCATCACACGGGCAAAAATGACTTTTTAACCCTCGTTCATTTTCCGACCTCGGCTTCGCCTTGATCGTAAAACTTGACCTCGGGTCAAAAAGAGTCAATTTAGGCCCTGGTGATGAAATATACTATTGTTAACATCCTACTCAATTTTCACTATAAATATCATTTAGGCGTTGATGCATGCCTAAAACTGTACATTTAAAAGTAAACTCGTAAACCTCTGGTCTGTTTGTTTGTGCATATTGTGTGATGAAATAAGGCAATCTTTTTTATTTTCCACTACAATATTAGCATTAAACACTTTCTCATTTCCTTTAGCAGCAAACCTATGCACATAAACATAATAGTTTCTAAATGAAAAATATATCTGACATGATAAAGGAAATATTTTAAAATATTTATTTTTATAACTCAATCTCAAAAATCGAAATTTGCTTAGTCTACAGGTTTGCTGTGGCGGGGGTATTTATTGTCACAGTGTTTTTTCGGTCAATAGTTTAGAGGCTAGAATTATTATGCTTCTATAAAATAAAATAAAAGTAATATTAATGTATATAAAAAACCACAGAAAACATACTACTATAACCCAGAATGCCAACCGCATTATATTGGTTATTACCACAGCCAATAGACCAATAGATTTATAGATTTATTAGCCAATACATCATTTATTGGTCCATTAATCGGCCTGCTCTCTTTGTTCCTGTGGGCTTATTGGTTTATGTAATCTTGTTAATAGCCCATGATAGGAAGTCATGTGATGCATCAATCCATATATTATTTTACACTCTCTGAAAGTTACCGAGTTCCGAACCCTTGGCCTATATATAGTCAATGATAAAACATAGCCATATCTTGACTTGGGCATAACTGATGTTGAGTAGTCGAATAAAAATTCTATGTATCTGTATTTTAATGCTGTCCAATGTTTTATCATCTTCTTGGATGTTTTCAATTACTCGTTAGGAAAATATAATAAAAAATAAAATAAAATTAAATTAAAAATAAAAATAAAATAAAATAAAATAAAAAAAATAAAATAAAATAAAAGTAATATTAATGTATATAAAAAACCACAGAAAACATACTACTATAACCCAGAATGCCAACCGCATTGTAAAAAGCATTAAGTGTTTTGAGAGAACTTTGCCTGTCAATTCGTAGGCAGCGCGACCAGCGTTGCTATGCTGAGTGCAAACACTTAATGCTTTTAACCATGCGGGTGGCATTCTGGGTTATAGTAGTATGTTTTCTGTGAAAAAACTCACTTGTTTTAGCTATATTATCTGTGATGTAAGGGATTAATTATAACGCCTTCGCAAAGGAAACGCAACTACAACGCGCTCCGGTATTGAGGGTATTGCATTGACTTTCTGCAGGCGTTTTTATTTTTATTTTTTGTTAATATCGTCCCGAAGAAATCTCGATTAAAATCAAATCTTGTCTCGTAGGTCGAGATTTAAAATTTCCCGAAATTTCGAGACTTGTCTATCCCTAGTAAAATTGCTCAATTCCAAATTTACAAAGTTATAAGTTAAATGTACTTCATATTTCATTTTTATACATATAAAGTTTATTATTGTAATTTTATCCAAATGTACTTAACAGAATCTTTTTTTATTTTAAACTATTCATATGTTAGATTTTTATATTATCATTGTAAACATAAGCATAGCCTTTTTTCAGTTTTTTGATGTGCCTGATGATGGCAGCATAGCTGGCAAAAGGCCTCACGAAATTAAAAATTGATTTAATATTGGTGATATTTTTATTTTAAATTGTAAGTTGTTCAAGACCTTTTGATCGATGTTTCCCATTAAATAAATAAATAGATAAAAATGCCTTTATTTATTTATTTATTAGTATTATTATTCAAGACGAACTTTCAAGGTTTTACATGGTTTTAGTGAAAAAAATACATTTTTATAAAATATTTAATACAGACTAAAAAAACCATTGAAAAAATCATAATGTTTGGCTAATATTTGTGAAGTGAGATTTATTAGCTAATATAAAGATTTTTGAAAATCTTAATACGGCTGTAGCCGGAAGTAAGAGTGAGAGTACAATAATGGTACAACTATCCGGATTGCGTGTTTTTATTAAGAATATCTTAAAATCTTTTATACTTACTACCAAAACAAAAACTCTGTATATATTTGTAGTTCGATATACAGTAATATAGTACGATGTACATGTGTATTTCGACAAATGTGTAGTTCAATGAATGTGAAGTTCGATAAATGTTTAGTTCGATAAATGTTTAGTTCAATGAATGTGAAGTTCGATAAATGTTTAGTTTGATAAATGTGTAGTTCGATAAATGTTTAGTTCAATGAATGTGAAGTTCGATAAATGTTTAGTTCAATAAATGTTTAGTTCAATAAATGTGTAGTTCGATAAATGTTTAGTTCAATGAATGTGAAGTTCGATAAATGTTTAGTTTGATAAATGTGTAGTTCGATAAATGTTTAGTTCAATGAATGTGAAGTTCGATAAATGTTTAGTTTGATAAATGTGTAGTTCGATAAATGTTTAGTTCAATGAATGTGAAGTTCGATAAATGTTTAGTTCAATAAATGTGTAGCTCGATAAATGTTTAGTTCAATAACTGTGTAGTTCGATAAATGTTTAGCTCAATAAATGTGAAGTTCGATAAATGTTTAGTTTGATAAATGTGTAGTTCGATAAATGTTTAGTTCACTAAATGTGAAGTTCGATAAATGTTAAGTTTGATAAATGTGTGGTTCGATAAATGTTTAGTTTGATAAATGCGCGGTTCGATAAATATGTAGTTCGATAAATGTTTAGTTCATTAAATGTGAAGATCGATAAATGTTTAGTTTAATAAATGTGTACTGCAGTTCGATAAATGTTTAGTTCGATAAATATGTACTGCAGTTCGATAAATGTTTAGTTCGATAAATGTGTAGTTCGATAATGTGTAGTTCGATAATTGTGTAGTTCGATAAATGTGTAGTTCGATAAATGTTAAGTTTACTAAATGTCTAAATTCTATAGATGTGTAGTTCGATAAATGTGTAGTTTGATAAATGTGTAGTTAGATAAATGTGTAGTTTGATAAATGCGCGGTTCGATAAATATGTATGTGTATTTTGATGTATATGAGTGGTTCGATATATATTTACAATGAGACCGACATCACGTGCGAGGTTAGGGCAGGTCAGGGTAGAGCAGATCAATACACTCTCACCCCCCCCCCCCCAAACCCCTGAGTAGCAAAACCAAAACATCAAGTTCAACAACTTGTCCGGATCTTGGACCTTGGCTTATATCTCCACAACCCACAGATATACTACTGTTTTCTATTTCGATGTCGTCCCCACCATCTCTAAACAGAAGTACAATACAGTACTGTATAGCATAAAATCCATTGCAGCTGGACTAGCGGTTGCTTGATGTTTTTAGCTACATATTGTGACTCCTATTCAAACTTGGGGTTGTTTAAAATATAAAAATTTACAATGTTTGTAATTGATTGTTCCTCAAGTACTAGAATCTTTATCTGAGTGCTTCAAAGGCAATAAGTAGGCTAAGTAAATATGTGTTTAAGGCATCTAATAAATACTTAACCTTTTTTTTAAAAAAGGGAAATAATTTAAACAAATTCAGATAAAACTTAATCAAATAAAAAATTATAAAAAATTCAGATAAAACTTTATCAAACCCAATATATGATTTCTGTAATGCAAATAAATAATTTGAAACCAAATAATTAAATAGATATACAGCATCTAATCAGAATTGGTGTGGTATACAAGATCTGATGGGCTTTACAAACTAACAAACAAACACTTTATTTCGCTTATTTCGAAAGGTCTTTTTGTGTTTTTTTTTATGAAAAACAATTTATTAATTTATTTTTATATAAAACTACATAATGTTTAATTTTAATTTAATATTTGCAACAACCACAAATGTACAAAAATCTTTTAAAACTTATAACGGTGTAGTAAACCGTGGGAGAGTTCGGTTGACTCGTAGAAGAATCGCTAGGAATAAAGTGGCTCTTGACTTCGGTGTTTGTGACTATTTCATTGCAGGTGTGGCTGGGACTTGTGCGGCTGTAGTTATGGCATTTTCTTGATCTTCTGTCTCTTCTTTTTCTCCCTTTTCTGGTCCACGGTTATTAACGGGTATCAGATGTTGATGTATGATGTAAAATAGCAGGGTTTATAGGAGGAGTCAGCATTGACGGGATGTTTGAGTTCCCACGTTCGTATTGTCCCAACTCAGCCTGGAATAAAACTTTGCTTATCTCAAATTTAGCATATGCAGCAGAGACATTGCTTAACTTGCGCAAGGTCATTGCAACTGTCTCTCCATAAGAGTCAAATTCATCTCGGTTAGCGTTATTTGCTTCTACTCTCTTCATGACCGCATACGCCACCTCGGACATCTTATCTTTCTTCCTCTTTGAGCCCCTAGCTCTACCAGAAACTGCAGTTGACTTTAAAAGGGAATCTGTCATAGGTCCACCTTCTGATGTAGAATTGACAGAAACAGATGGGGATGGTAAACGCTCTGGTGTTTCGGTTTGAGGATAAACTAATTCACCATTTTCTGTTCCCGGAAGTACTTTGTCAACCTAAAAACAAAACCTCTGTTAGTGTGATAAATTAATGTGTTAGTTGTCTCACAAATTCATTACATATATTTATAAATACCATTACTACTTTCTTTGACTGAGACATTCCATCCCCATGTTAAGTTAAATTTGTAGGTAGCCAGTTTTTAACCAAAATCATCGTAGTTGATGTGAGCCACTGACAGATTGTGCTTATCTAAATTACTGATTTCTGACGAATACACAATATTTATTAACAATTCAAACTAATGGAATGACTTCTTGTGAGCTATAGCAACTATTATGACCCATCAACTTGGACAGCAACAAAAAATAATTTATAAATAAAAAACTTTTTTAAAACAACACGTTTTTAAACACACTAAAAAGTATAAAATAATTAATAAATTAATAATAATAATTAATAAATAATTAATAATTAATAAATATGTGGAGAGTATAAATACTTGTAGATTTAAAACGAAAAACGTAGGGTGCATGCAATAGATAATTTACAATTACCTTAACCTATTGATTACCGACCCATCCAGACCACGCCATATTACCATCAATGAACCTTAGATTCGTAATTTTAACCTTCGTTATACGGCCACTTATGAATCTCTCTGATAAAAACTTATTGCATTTTTGGATTCAGCGTGAATAATACGAGAACTAGACATCTAAAAATTACACGATATCGCATTGTACATATATCAAAAATTTGCCATTATCTTTTCTGCTCTAGTGAAAAAATGCTAGTGAGGAAAATTGTCTTTTCTGCTCTAGTAAGGAAAATGTTCTTTACTGCACTAGCAAGGAATTTCTGCACTAGTGAGGAAAAGTGTTTTTTCTGTACTAGTGAGGAAAAGTGTCTTTTCTGCACTAGTGAGTAAAAGTGTCTTTTCTGCACTAGTGAGGTAAAGTCTCTTTTCTGCACTAGTGAGGAAAAGTATATTTTCTGCACAAGTGAGGTAAAGTCTCATTTCTGCACTAGTGAGGTAAAGTGTCTTTTCTGCACTAGTGAGGAAAAGTATATTTTCTGCACTAGTGAGGTAAAGTTTGTTTTCTGAACTAGTGAGGAAAAGTGTCTTTTCTGCACTAGTGAGGTAAAGTCTCTTTTCTCCATTAGTGAGGAAAAGTATATTTTCTGCACAAGTGAGGTAAAATGTCTTTTCTGCACAAGTGAGGAAAGTGTCTTTCCTGCACAAGTGAGGAAAAAGTATTTTCTGCACTAGTGAGGAAATGGTCTTTTCTGCACTAGTGAGAAAAATTGCTTTTTCTGCACTAGTGAGGAAAAGTGTCTTTTCTGCACTAGTGAGGTAAAGTCTCTTTTCTGCACTAGTGAGGTAAAGTCTCTTTTCTGTACTAATGAGGAAAAGTATATTTTCTGCACTAGTGAGGTAAAGTGTGTTTTCTGCACTAGTGAGGTAATGTCTCTTTTCTGCACTAGTGAGGAAAATTGCTTTTTCTGCACTAGTGAGGAAAAGTGTCTTTTCTGCACTAGTGAGGAAAAGTATATTTTCTGCACTAGTGAGGTAAACGTTGTTTTCTGCACTAGTGAGGTAAAGTCTCTTTTCTGCACTAGTGAGGTAAAGTGTATTTTCTGCACTAGCGAGGAAAAGTGTCTTTTCTGCACTGGTGAGGAAAAGTGTCTTTCCCGCACTAGTGAGGTAAATCCTCTTTTCTGCACTAGTGAGGAAAAGTGTCTTTCCCGCACTAGTGAGGTAAAGTCTCTTTTCTGCACTAGTGAGGAAGTTTGTTTTCTGCACTAGTGAGGAAAAGTCTCTTTTCTGCACTAGTGAGGAAAAGTGTCTTTTCTGTTCTAGTGAGGAAAAGTGTCTTTTCTGCACTTGTGAGGTAAAGTTTGTTTTCTGCACTAGTGAGGTAAAGTCTCTTTTCTGCAATAGTGAGCTAAAGTCTCTTTTCTGCACTAGTGAGGTAAAGTGTATTTTCTGCACTAGTGAGGTAAAGTGTGTTTTCTGCACTAGCGAGGAAAAGTGTCTTTTCTGCACTGGTGAGGAAAAGTGTCTTTTCTGTTCTAGTGAGGAAAAGTATATTTTCTGCACTAGTGAGGTAAAGTGTATTTTCTGCACTAGCGAGGAAAAGTGTCTTTTCTGCACTGGTGAGGAAAAGTGTCTTTCCCGTACCAGTGAGGTAAATCCTCTTTTCTGCACTAGTGAGGAAAAGTGTCTTTCCCGCACTAGTGAGGTAAAGTCTCTTTTCTGCACTAGTGAGGAAAAGTGTCTTTCCCGCACTAGTGAGGTAAATCCTCTTTTCTGCACTAGTGAGGTAAAGTCTCTTTTCTGCACTAGTGAGGAAAAGTGTCTTTTCTGTTCTAGTGAGGAAAAGTGTCTTTTCTGTTCTAGTGAGGAAAAGTCTCTTTTCTGCACTAGTGAGGAAAAGTGTTTTTTCTGTTCTAGTGAGGAAAAGTGTCTTTTCTGTGCTAGTGAGGAAAAGTATATTTTCTGCACTAGTGAGGTAAAGTGTCTTTTCTGCACTAGTGAGGAAAATTATATTTTCTGCACTTGTGAGGTAAAGTTTGTTTTCTGCACTAGTGAGGTAAAGTCTCTTTTCTGCAATAGTGAGCTAAAGTCTCTTTTCTGCACTAGTGAGGTAAAGTGTATTTTCTGCACTAGTGAGGTAAAGTGTGTTTTCTGCACTAGCGAGGAAAAGTGTCTTTTCTGCACTGGTGAGGAAAAGTGTCTTTTCTGTTCTAGTGAGGAAAAGTATATTTTCTGCACTAGTGAGGTAAAGTGTCTTTTCTGCACTAGTGAAAACTTTGTTTTCTGCACTAGTGAGGAAAAGTGTCTTTTCTGCACTAGTGAGGAAAAGTGTCTTTTCTGCACTAGTGAGGTATTCTTAGTTTTCTGCACTAGTGAGGTAAAGTGTATTTTCTGCACTAGTGAGGTAAAGTGTGTTTTCTGCACTAGCGAGGAAAAGTAACTTTTCTGCACTAGTGAGGAAAAGTGTCTTTTCTGCACTAGTGAGGAAAAGTGTCTTTTCTGCACTAGTCAGGAAAAGTATATTTTCTGCACTAGTGAGGTAAACTTTGTTTTCTGCACTAGTGAGGTAAACTGTTTTCTGCACTAGTGAGGTAAAGTCTCTTTTCTGCAATAGTGAGGAAAAGTATATTTTCTGCACTAGTGAGGTAAAGTTTGTTTTCTGAACTAGTGAGGAAAAGTGTCTTTTCTGCACTAGTGAGGTAAAGTCTCTTTTCTCCATTAGTGAGGAAAAGTATATTTTCTGCACAAGTGAGGTAAAATGTCTTTTCTGCACAAGTGAGGAAAGTGTCTTTCCTGCACAAGTGAGGAAAAAGTATTTTCTGCACTAGTGAGGAAATGGTCTTTTCTGCACTAGTGAGAAAAATTGCTTTTTCTGCACTAGTGAGGAAAAGTGTCTTTTCTGCACTAGTGAGGTAAAGTCTCTTTTCTGCACTAGTGAGGTAAAGTCTCTTTTCTGTACTAATGAGGAAAAGTATATTTTCTGCACTAGTGAGGTAAAGTGTGTTTTCTGCACTAGTGAGGTAATGTCTCTTTTCTGCACTAGTGAGGAAAATTGCTTTTTCTGCACTAGTGAGGAAAAGTGTCTTTTCTGCACTAGTGAGGAAAAGTATATTTTCTGCACTAGTGAGGTAAACGTTGTTTTCTGCACTAGTGAGGTAAAGTCTCTTTTCTGCACTAGTGAGGTAAAGTGTATTTTCTGCACTAGCGAGGAAAAGTGTCTTTTCTGCACTGGTGAGGAAAAGTGTCTTTCCCGCACTAGTGAGGTAAATCCTCTTTTCTGCACTAGTGAGGAAAAGTGTCTTTCCCGCACTAGTGAGGTAAAGTCTCTTTTCTGCACTAGTGAGGAAGTTTGTTTTCTGCACTAGTGAGGAAAAGTCTCTTTTCTGCACTAGTGAGGAAAAGTGTCTTTTCTGTTCTAGTGAGGAAAAGTGTCTTTTCTGCACTTGTGAGGTAAAGTTTGTTTTCTGCACTAGTGAGGTAAAGTCTCTTTTCTGCAATAGTGAGCTAAAGTCTCTTTTCTGCACTAGTGAGGTAAAGTGTATTTTCTGCACTAGTGAGGTAAAGTGTGTTTTCTGCACTAGCGAGGAAAAGTGTCTTTTCTGCACTGGTGAGGAAAAGTGTCTTTTCTGTTCTAGTGAGGAAAAGTATATTTTCTGCACTAGTGAGGTAAAGTGTATTTTCTGCACTAGCGAGGAAAAGTGTCTTTTCTGCACTGGTGAGGAAAAGTGTCTTTCCCGTACCAGTGAGGTAAATCCTCTTTTCTGCACTAGTGAGGAAAAGTGTCTTTCCCGCACTAGTGAGGTAAAGTCTCTTTTCTGCACTAGTGAGGAAAAGTGTCTTTCCCGCACTAGTGAGGTAAATCCTCTTTTCTGCACTAGTGAGGTAAAGTCTCTTTTCTGCACTAGTGAGGAAAAGTGTCTTTTCTGTTCTAGTGAGGAAAAGTGTCTTTTCTGTTCTAGTGAGGAAAAGTGTCTTTTCTGTTCTAGTGAGGAAAAGTCTCTTTTCTGCACTAGTGAGGAAAAGTGTTTTTTCTGTTCTAGTGAGGAAAAGTGTCTTTTCTGTGCTAGTGAGGAAAAGTATATTTTCTGCACTAGTGAGGTAAAGTGTCTTTTCTGCACTAGTGAGGAAAATTATATTTTCTGCACTTGTGAGGTAAAGTTTGTTTTCTGCACTAGTGAGGTAAAGTCTCTTTTCTGCAATAGTGAGCTAAAGTCTCTTTTCTGCACTAGTGAGGTAAAGTGTATTTTCTGCACTAGTGAGGTAAAGTGTGTTTTCTGCACTAGCGAGGAAAAGTGTCTTTTCTGCACTGGTGAGGAAAAGTGTCTTTTCTGTTCTAGTGAGGAAAAGTATATTTTCTGCACTAGTGAGGTAAAGTGTCTTTTCTGCACTAGTGAAAACTTTGTTTTCTGCACTAGTGAGGAAAAGTGTCTTTTCTGCACTAGTGAGGAAAAGTGTCTTTTCTGCACTAGTGAGGTATTCTTAGTTTTCTGCACTAGTGAGGTAAAGTGTATTTTCTGCACTAGTGAGGTAAAGTGTGTTTTCTGCACTAGCGAGGAAAAGTAACTTTTCTGCACTAGTGAGGAAAAGTGTCTTTTCTGCACTAGTGAGGAAAAGTGTCTTTTCTGCACTAGTCAGGAAAAGTATATTTTCTGCACTAGTGAGGTAAACTTTGTTTTCTGCACTAGTGAGGTAAACTGTTTTCTGCACTAGTGAGGTAAAGTCTCTTTTCTGCACTAGTGAGGAAAAGTATATTTTCTTCACTAGTGAGGTAAAGTGTCTTTTCTGCACTAGTGAGGAGAAGTGTCTTTTCTGCACTTGTGAGGAAAAGTGTCTTTTCTGCACTAGTGAGGAAAAGTGTCTTTTCTGCACTGGTGAGGAAAAGTGTCTTTCCCGCACTAGTGAGGTAAAGTCTCTTTTCTGCACTAGTGAGGAAAAGTTTCTTTTCTGCAACTAGTGAGGAAAAGTATATTTTCTGCACTAGCGAGGTAAAGTCTCTTTTCTGCACTAGTGAGGAAAAGTGTCTTTTCTGCACTAGTGAGGAAAATTGTCTTTTCTGCATTAGTGAGGTAAAGTCTCTTTTCCGCACTAGTGAGGAAAAGTATATTTTCTGCACTAGTGAGGTAAAGTGTATTTTCTGCACTAGTGAGGTAAAGTGTGTTTTCTGCACTAGCGAGGAAAAGTGTCTTTTCTGCACTGGTGAGGAAAAGTGTCTTTCCCGCACTAGTGAGGTAAATCCTCTTTTCTGCACTAGTGAGGAAAAGTGTCTTTCCCACACTAGTGAGGTAAATCCTCTTTTCTGCACTAGTGAGGTAAAGTCTCTTTTCTGCACTAGTGAGGAAAAGTGTCTTTTCTGCACTGGTGAGGAAAAGTGTCTTTTCTGCACTAGTGAGGAAAAGTGTCTTTCCCGCACTAGTGAGGAAAAGTGTCTGCAGAAAATACATTTTTCCTCACAAGTGCAGAAAAGACACTTTTCCTCACTAGAGCAGAAAAGACCATTTCCCTCACTAGTGCAGAAAAGACACTTTTCCTTACTAGTGCAGAAACAATTTTGAACTCAGAAAGTTCAAACGAAAAAAAGAGGTAGAAGAAGTGCAGGATAAAGTGATAAACTTTAAAATGGAAAAGTTGTAAATAAAGTTAAATTTAGAAAACGAGGAAAACAAATTAAGTTACCAAAAAGACTGAACTTTTAATATGATAATATGTTTTGAGTCTTTAAATTAATGGACTCATAAGACTCAAAAGGTAGGAGAATGTTGCAAATGGACTGTGTATAGATGATTTTTATATTAATTAATTCATCAGATGTTTTTGTTTAACATTTTGCAATTAGTGTTTTCCTTTTGATTGATTGTTAAGAGTTGGTCTTGAATAGTTATGTCTGATTAAAATTGGTAGATATTTTGTACTATGTTTTCTTGAGTTTATTAAAGTATATCCCAGTAGAACCATTTTACCAGTAGGCATTACTTATTCCTTTTAGAAGAATCAGTATCGCGTTTTAACAAGCCCTATTCTTAAACTCAACAAGGGAATACACTGTTTTAAATACGGTAACAAGAGACATGCAAATCACGGGGATTGCCCTGCTATGGGTGCTGTTTGTTTATAATTGTATTGGTAATAATCATTTTTCTCGTGCATATTTGAAGGCAGGAAATGTGGTTGTTGCTAGACCAAAACAGTTAAATCAAATCGAAAATTCTTTGGATGAGGATAACGCTCCGTATTCAGACATTGACCAAATACGAACTTTGGAAAAGGGTTCCAAAGTAATGATCAATGTTTAAATGAACAAACGTAAGGTAAAAATGCTTTACGATCCAGGGGCAGCTTACAGCATCATTGGAGAAAAACTGTGGAAATCGATTGGATCACCAACACTGTACCCCTGTGAAAATCTTACTGCCTACACGGGGGTACAAATTGAAACACTAGGCGAAACATCGGTTGGTGTTCTTGCATTTCGTAGTTCAAAAAAATTAAAGCTTATAGTAGTCAAGAAAAATTATGTTCCTCTATCTGGGTTGGACTGGGTACTTAAGTTCAATCTTCCTTTACCACCAGGTGCTGAAGTATGTACAGTTACTCGGCAACCGAACAATACCACTCGTGTGAATAGTATGGATTTGGTAAGACAAATTGTTACTGACGTTCCAGAAGTGTTTTATCCTTCTCAAGGCACAATCAAAAACAGTAACGTAGTATTCCACTTGACCCAAGACGCAGTTCCAGTTCTTTCAAAACCACGTCCTGTACCCTTTTCCTTACGCAAAGCTGTGGAAGACGAACTGCAACGGTTAGTTGAAAACCAAGTGAAAACCAAGTCTTGACGCCAGTGAATACAAGTGAGGAGCCTGTTACATGGTCTTCACCTATAGTGATTGTTGTAAAACCTTCTGGAGCAATACGCATATGTGCTGACTTTAAAAACACGATCAACAAGTATATGATTTCAGACGACTACCCTATGCCCAGATTAGAAGAAATTACAGCGAAACTTACTGGAGGACAAGAGTTCACAGTCATCGATCTCAAGGATGCTTACTTACAGATGGAAGTTGACACTTGCGTACAAAAATATTTAACTATTTCCACACACAAAGATTATCAGATATTCCCGTCTTCCTTTTGGGATTAAAATCGCTTCAGGGGCATTTCAGTGTAAAATGGATCAAGTACTGGCGGACTTGGAGGGAGTTGCATGTCTTCTCGATGATGTGATAATCACAGCTCCCACACGAGAGGAACACATACGTCGTGTTAGAGAGGTGCTAAAACGTTTTACAGATATGGGTATCCGCGCACAAATGTCAAAAACATCGATGTTTGACATAGGTACTGTACATCGTGTTATATACTTCGATGGTGTACTGTACTTCACTTCATACTGGTCGATACTTTTTTATTTTATCTAGGTCTAAGTTCATCCGCATCGCTCTACCCTCACAAAGTTCAGCAATAAACTTAACGTTGTATTTGTTTACAACTTTTTGCGTTTACTCACCTCAATCGTTGCTAGCCCAGGCTTCCGAGCTTTTCTTGGGGTGTATGTATCCTTCAAAAACATAAGACGGTCAAACGCGAACCACTTCACTTTTCTATCAGCACCGGATCCAATCTTTCGCTTTATATATTCCCGTTGGAACTGCCCTATGACATCCCCCCCTAATCTTGAGTTTTACTCAGTTTTGGGCAATTTCAGAACAGAAGCAATTTCAGACCATGCGCAGTTCATTAGATCTTTGTCCTTGAACTCAGGGTGAGTTGGGTCCCACAACACTGGACGATCACGGTAAAGTTCTATCAACTGTATAACTTGATCCTGGCTCCACTCCATACTCGCCGCGTTGTCCTCTTCCATCACAACTACTGTATTCACTTCACTCTTCAATCAACAAAACGCACATTAATATACTCTATAATATACACAAACGACGAGAAACTCTTTCAACCTAATTTCAAACTCACGTAGCTTCTACTTCGGCTACTGACTCTGACTGACGACTGACTAGTGACTATAGTTCGGCCGCTTAGAAAACGACCTCCTCCAGCATTGGTTTAGCATTAGCGCGCAGGTCGTTTTCTAAGCGGCCGAGCTATAGTGGTATTTGGCGCGCGAGACACGACCAAGTCCAAGTGTATATGATTGCGGCGACTAGCGCCACGTCTGGGGGAAGTGCCTGCTCGCTGGGAGCATATACTTCCGGTCTGCTGTGGGTCCAAGCCCTGGTAGCTCAGCTACCTGTAGACGTCAACGTCGTTCTGGGAGTTAGTCGTCGATCCGGGGGCGAAGCTGGGGAACATCCTCAGCGACCAGGTCCCTGATGTGTTCCCACGGAGAGTCATCCGCCATCTCTTCAAGTCTCGCTCGAAGGCCGTCGACGAAGTCTCGGAGAGTTGTTACTGCTGTGGAGTCCCTGATGACGGAGTTCCTCACGTACCAGGGTGAATCTGTCGCCTGCCGAAGAGCCTTGCTCTGGACGACGAGCAGCCTCCGTCTAGCGGTTCTGCAGGTGAAGTGGTACCATGCAGGGGCTGCGTACGTGAGGACAGGCCGAAGCAGGGCCGTGTAGAGTCGGACTCTTGCAGCCGTCGACAACTTCCGTGACCTGAGCAGCGGGCGGATGGCGCCAAGACCTTTCCTGGCGAGGTCGCAGACCCTCTCGACGTGGGGAGTCAGGGTGAGTCGCTGATCCAGCAGGACGCCGAGGTACTTCACCCGGCGCTTCCATGGGATGTCGGCCCCGTCTAGGTGGAGGTGTTGACCATCGTCCTGCCTCCTCGACCTCGTGAAGGAGATGGCCTCACTCTTGTCAGCGTTGACTTTGACTCGCCACTTCGTCAGCCACGGCAGCAACAGGTCCAGCTGTCGCTGGACATACACCCTGGACATCCTCAGGTTGGCGGAGGTGGCAGTGAAGAGCGCATCATCTGCATAGAGCGAGAGTTGCACTCTCGGCGCCAGGGGCATGTCGTTGGTGTACCACAGGTAGAGTATCGGCCCGAGAACCGACCCCTGTGGCACACCCGAAGAGACTGGCCGTGGTGTGGAAGTCGCCCGTCCAACGGAGACCTTGAAGTGGCGAGCGGTCAGGTAGCTCTTGACGAGCCTGTAGATCGAGCCGGGTAGAGGGGAGGACGCCAGCTTGTAGAGAAGCCCCTCGTGCCAGACCCGGTCGAAGGCTTTGCTTACGTCGATCAGGACTGAGGTCGAGTGGTGCTTCCGCTCCATCGCTCCAGCGATGGTGTTGAGGACCCGCCGCAGCTGGAGGGTGGTGGAGTGGCCCCGCCTGAAGCCGTACTGCTCGGTCCTGATCGAAGTGAAGAACTCCTCGGGGAATCTCGCCAGGACGATTCGCTCCAGCATCTTGGAGAGCACAGGCAGGAGGGAGATCGGCCTGTGGTTCTCGGGGAAGATGTGGTCCTTGCCGGGCTTGGGGATGAGGATGACGTTCGCCAACTTCCAGGTGTCAGGGAAGTGGGCCAGCCTCACGCAGGAGTTGAAGAGACAGGTGATCACAACAATCACCCAAGCCGGCAGGTTCTTCAGTGCTGGAGTCCCGAGGGAGTCCGGTCCAGGGGCCTTCTTCGGACGGAGTCGAGCGATGTGGCCCTTCACCTCGCTGACGGTCACGTGGGGGATGTCCTCGTCGTCGGAGTCCGGCTCGTAGGTCTCTACGAAGTCGTCAACAACCTCGCAGAAGTCCTCGTCGTAGACGTCCGGGTGTGGGGAAAACTGGTCTTCCAGCGAGTCTGCGAAGGTCTCTGCGCGGTCTTCGGGCGAGTAGACGAGCCCGCGTCCCCCATGCAGCGGCCTGTTGTGGGTCTTCGTGCCGCGCAGAGCCTTGGCGATCTTCCAGATCCCGTCGTTGGTGTCAGCCTGTCCCTCGACGAAGTCCTCCCACTCCTGGGACCGATGCTCAGCCAGCAGTCGGGAGCACCTCCTGGCCTGCCGGTTGAAGTCCGCCTTCGCTCGAGGGCAGCGGGACTGTTGGTACGCCCTCCTCAGGCGACGTCGCAGGGCGATCTCCTCCCGTAGCCCCTGGGGAAGTGGCGGGGGGGCCCTCGGGTCAACGTCAGAGCTGGCGGCAACCACAGTGTCCTGCAGCAGCGTTGACAGGTCCAGGACCTGCTGGTCGAGCTCCTCTGCCGTCTCAGGTGGCGGGGGAGGCGGTCGAGGGGCGTTGGCCAGGAGGTTGGCGAACTTCGCCCAGTTCACCCTCTTCCTGCGGACCGGAGGGCGGTCGGGGACTCCTCCCTGCGGCAGATCGAAGATCACCGGGACGTGGTCAGAAGAGAGGTCGGAGACGACGAAGACTTCAATCGGGCCATCGAACGAGCCAGCCAGTCCGATGTCCAGGATGTCGGGCGGGTGTCCAGCACGGGAGTAGTGTGTGGGGTCGGCCGGGGCAACCACGTTGATGTGAGGGTGGGCGGTGAGGTAGCGCCTGAGAGCAGCTCCAGTGAAGTTTCCTCTCCTGCAACCCCAGTCCAGGTGTTTGGCATTGAGGTCGCCTGCCAGAAGCGCCGGGGTGTCGGGGGGCAGCAGCAAGTCCAGGAGTCCGGGATCAAGGCGCCTCCCTGGGGGGTTGTAGGCAGAGGAGATTTCCAGCTCTGCACCGTCGTGCTGGAGGGCGGTGGTCGTCACCTCGATGCCAGGCGGGAGGTTCCTGACGATCGGTCTGTGGGTGACCCGACGATGAACCAGTATCGCCGAGCCACCACTGGCACGTTGTTGCAGAGGCCTGTCTGTCCGGTGAGTGTAGTAGTTTCGGACGTTGAACCTGTCCCCACCGCGCAGATGCGTCTCCTGGATGAGGGCAACGTCAACGTCCATGTCAGTGAGGAGTTGTGTCAGCTCATGGCGTCTGTCGGCAAGCCCGTCGGCGTTCCACGTGAGGATGCGAAGTCTACGCATGATGTTGGGTCAACTGGTCAACAAGTCGCTCGACGACGACCAACATGCTCCTCAGCGTGGAGATGAGTTGAGCCAGCTCAGACTGCTGCGACGGGCTCTTGGACGACTGGGCCGGGGTTGAGGCCGGCTCGATAGGCTGGGCAGGGCGGCTGGGCTGCGGGGCAGGGCTGCTGGGCTGCGGGGCTGGGCTGCTGGGCTGCGGGGCTGGGCTGCTGGGCTGCCGGGCAGGGCCGCTGGGCTGGCGAGGAGGGACTTCCAGGCGAGGGCGGGGAGTTCGCCTCACTCGAGGGTTCGGGGTCCCAGCCGGGGCGGCGGACCGCTCCACAGGAGGGGTGGGTGTTCGGGGTCTCGGGCCGGAAGCTCTGCCGCGGTTGTCCGGGTTCCGAGGAGCTCGACGACGTCTTCTCCGCTGAGTCCGGAAACCCTCGTCATCAACCTCGGGAGCCCCAGGCGCCTCGTCGTCCACTGGGTCAGGTCTCGGAGCAGGCGGGTCGACCCGGCGCGGTTGACGGCCCGACGGTGCCGTGGACGATTTCGCCGCAGCCGCGTACGAAGCCCGTTGCAGAGTCTTGTAGCAAGTGCAGCCCCTGTAGTTGGCAGTGTGGGCCTCACCACAGTTGCAGCACTTCGCCTGGGCTGCTGGCTCCTTGGGGCACTCGGTCGCTGGATGGGTGTCCCCGCAGCGGACACAGCGGACCTGGCGGTGGCACTGGCCCGATCCGTGGCCGAAGCCCTGGCAGCGGTGGCATTGAATGGGTCCGTTGGGCCGCTTGTACTGCCGTACATCCACCTTGCAGTAAAAGGCTCGCCTTATTTCATACACAGTGGACGGCAGGGAGTATCCTTCCGTCCTGCGGATCGTGAGGAGCCAGAGACCAGTCGGCATTCCTCGACGAGTCTTCATCATTTTCACTTCGGATATGTCGAAGTCGTGAAATTCCGCCATAATCTCATCTGGTGCTAGCGTCGGCGGCAGGCCCTTCACCACCACCTTGAGCAGCCGCTCGGTGCGTAGGGCGAAGGTGTGGAACGGTACCCGCTCTTGCTGCAGATACCGCTGGACGGCACGGAAGTGGGGCACAGTGTCCACTCTGATCCGCAGATTTTTCCCCGTGCATGAGGCGTCGAATTGGCCACCAACCAGTTGGCCGATGGCGACGGCGTGGGCAGGCCAGCTCCGCGGCATGTCCAGGAGGATAGGCGGAGGCCGTGGCTCGTTCCGCGACGGGGCCGGATCATCCTCCATGTCGGAGTCAGCGGCGGTCTGGAAGGTGTCTTGGCCGGTTTTGCGGGCCTTCCGCTCGGCAGGAGGAGTCGGGGACGCTCGCCTCTTGTTGGTAGTCTGGTGGCCTTGAGAAACGCCGTTTTCTCCAGACGACGAGCAGGGGTTCGCCTGGCAACTGTTCCCCTCGCCGCCAGTGAAGACGAACGGGCCTCCGCCAGGGGTGGCAGTGGCGCACCGTTGGTCGACACCCGCTCGGGTCACCGCAGCAGCGGTCTTCCCCCAGGCACTGATCTCCGTCCCCGTGAGGGGAAGTCCCGGGGGGGGTGGAGTTGCTGGGCTGGGCGGCGACAGAGTTTGAGGGCCGGGCGGCGGCTAGGCCGGGGTGAGCTCCGCCGGGGGCTTGAGACATCTGGTGGCCTTTACT